AGATCAACTAGGTCATGTCATGTGGGCTTGTTTCCTGCTTGTACCGGGGTCAACCAGGTCACAAGGGCTTCATCTCATGCTTGTACCGAGATCAACTAGGTCATGTGGGCTTCGTTTCCTGCTTGTACCGGGGTCAACCAGGTCACAAGGGCTTCGTCTCATGCTTGTACCGAGATCAACTAGGTCATGTGGGCTTCGTTTCCTGCTTGTACCGGGGTCAACCAGGTCAGTACCGAGATCAACTAGGTCACAAGGGCGTTTCCTGCTCGTCCAGGGTCAACCAGTTCGCAAGGGCTTCGTCTCATGCTTGTACCGAGATCAACTAGGTCATGTGGGCTTCGTTTCCTGCTTGTACCGGGGTCAACCAGGTCGCAAGGGCTTCATCTCATGCTTGTACCGAGATCAACTAGGTCATGTGGGCTTCGTTTCCTGCTTGTACCGGGGTCAACCAGGTCACAAGGGCTTCTCCTCATGCTTGTACCGGGATCATCTAGGTCGTATGGACTTCGTCTCATAATTGTACCGGGGTCAATTAGGTCATGTGGGCTTCGTTTCAAGCTTGTACCGGGATCAGCCAAGTAACTAGGGCTTCGTGTCATACTTGTACCGGGGTCAACAGGCCCACAATTGCTTTATCTGATACTTGTGCTCGACCACTGTGGGCCGACAATGTCCCAAGGGTTTCACTGTGTCAGGGACAGCTGACTATGAGGGTCGGGTGGGTGCAATTCAGGGTCTGACCTTGTCATATGATCCGACTGGGTGGGTCGGTACCCATGCAGCTAACCCGCTTATACCCTTACCCGACCTTCTGGAAATAGAGGGCAATTTGATGACTGCGCCGTAACGCAACATTCCCTCACATTATATCTAAGTCAAGTGACAACAATTATGCACCCCTTGTACCACAGAAGTTTGTTTTAATAAATATATCCGCAGCAAGGGTTCATACGGATAAATGGAAGTGTACCATAATATTCTCTGAGGGGCAAACCAATCATCAATGCATAACATCTTGATTTCCTCTTACGTCAGGTTATATTTTGTACATGGTGACATATGGAATGCTTCACAAGCGCCCTGACAGACACAGCGACTGTCAAATACATTGCCTCGGATATACACCAGATTCACCTTCATAGCAATAAAGTTGGTTTTCTTCAGGGAAAGCCAGATACCCTAGCACGCCGCTGAAAAGCCAGCTTGTATAACTACAGAGTGACAATAGCTGTCCCTTGACCCGTGAAGCTGTTCAGTGTATCATTATACATTGTAATTGAACATAATACATACCCAACCACCCTCTGACATTGGGAAACCCTCGCCACTGCTGATTATGATATTAAGGGTGGGATTCTTGGCCTGGTAATGCATTTTGGGAGGAATGTGAGTAGGTAGTGAGTAATCGTACCTTACTCAGGATGGAAGAACGTCAAAGTAAGCCTTCACGGATTCTCAGTCTGAATCTGATACCAGGGATAATCTACTACAGATACATACTACGTTATATAGTCTCCCTGCTGATACTGATGAATGTGTAGAAATGACTGTAGCAGTTTCAAGGGCAGGCTGTCCTTCCCCTTTGCGAGCACCGCGTGTCATCATTGATGTCTTGGAATCCATCATAATGTTCACCACTATCTTGTATTTTACGCTTCATAGCTTCTGTTTCGACAGATAATCTAGACTGGCTATTTTAGTTGATTATAAGACCCGACGAAGGGGCAAGGAAAAGCCCATAACGTTGTGTATACAATAAAGAATTTCGAAGAAGTTGACATCCATAATATTTTTTGTCTGTTGCTTGAATACCAACTTCTATATGCCTCTCAAGAGCTTTAAAGTTGATGTTCTGTTCACAGCAACAATCTTCCCTTTGTACTTTCTGCTTATTTAATTTTGGGGAGATATTTCTAACTAATTAAGAAAATGAAGATAACAACAGTTCCAAGATAGGGTCTATGGTACTCCCACGTGTGATGTCGGAGCAGAACGTTCATGGTCCAGAAATTACTTTCTTTAGACATTAGAAAAGATGTGTATTTTCATTGCCATAAAATACATAAAATATATGCCACCCTGCTTTCCCACCTCTTCTGACATGAGTGAAAAACAGCCGATGTCTGCGTTCCGTGACAAAAGAACACCTGATTTGCATGTTCAACATCGTTACATTCCTCAGTGATGTGTCAAATGACATGAAGCTGACAAGTGCACTCGCCTGTCGTGTTAATATGACATGATGCATACACTGTCATGTCTGGCTGATTCTCAGTGAAAGAACTCCCACTTGGATGAACACACTGTACAAGGGTTCAACACAAACTGTGCAAAATCTGAACCAGTTTTGGCAAAGATGCAAGTTGTGTGACTACATTTAGTTCCGCTCAGGTGCCCTGTGTCAACCATTGCCATCACCTGTTTCCAGAAGTACACAGACCTATCACCGCTATTATGCCAATCTGTTTACGACCAAGGCTGGAAGTTCTCCAGCCTTGACGTTCACAGTAAGGTCTACAAAGAGACTTATATATAGTATATATAATCTTAAGCATTCTTCAGTCATATATAACATGTGGCCTATTCTTCTATAGAGGTTAAAGCTATATCTGGAGTTCTTTCACCAGGAACAATATGTTTCTGTATTAATGAGTGTGGGTTGAGCCCTACCGAGTTATTTGTAATGGCATTGCATGTGAATAACATTCACTACGTATATATGGCATTCCTTCAACACCATATATCTGGTATCTGGTATCTGGTATCTGGTATCTGGTATCATCGCTATTTCATAGATACGATGACACATGCTCTCTTCTTATGAAAGTGGAAAGGGTTTTGTCGCTTCTATCTTTCAACACATAGGGCGAATTAATAGTGTTTATATAAAACGTTTGTTCAAATATAACCATATCGACTGGGTACATATGATGTATACTAGGTTACACTCTCCGATATTCCGATAATCTGTGGTGTATAAGCTGGTGTATAATTGAGTGAGTGAGTGAGTGAGTCTGTGGTGTATAAGATGGTGTACAATTGAGTTAGTGAGTGAGTGAGTGAGTGAGTGAGAGTAATGTTCCAGCAAATTCGGCGGGGAAATGGACTTCACACTTTGTACCCAAGAGGATAATCAAACCCAGCAATAGTGAAATTGAGGAATGCAATGATTACATTAAAATGTAGTTTTTGAAAGGCATTTAGAAGTTGGACGAACATATACATGACACGTTTTATGGATAACAACTTTTTTGTTGTTATTTTCGTATATATTTTATTCTATATACGACGTTTCACAGCTAATTCTTGCTCCTTCATCAGGTGAATTATCAGTTATAATGTAACAGCTCAACGTCATATGTATATATACGTACAATCATCATACCCGTTTTTGTGATTAAAACTGGAACATCTACTAAAGAACACCTCCATGTTAACTCAACCAAAAGGGGCCCCAAAATAATGTCTCGGTTGAACAAGATGGTAGTCGCCTCTTTCTCTCACACATAGAAATAATTGTAAGAAACTTGCCAGGGATGTTTGTACAAGCCAGAGGAGCTCCCGAGACTTTGTTATTTGTAGACAGTTGCTGATGTAGGTACACACAGATATATAAGTATAGTGTCCTCACCAATTTACTTTAAGTGTCGTGTTGACACGAACGACGCTGAATTAGCCCCATTGGTCTCTCTGGTCAAACTTTAGTCCCTAACACAGGACAGCAATTAACCCTCCTGGGATCTCTGTTCAGCCTTAATGGAGCCTTGGTTTGCATTGATAGTTTAAGTGGGGCGAGGTGTGGATTTGAGCTATATATTTGGCTTTAAATTGTTATACGATACTATTGAATTTATACTGAGTATATTTCAAGCTTTCGGATAGATTCATGTGCAGTATTCTGTTTAGGAATGAATGTAATTTGTATTTAATTAATAATATTCTTTTCTTGCAACTTTTTGGGGACCATAAGCCCTCACGTAACTCAGAATAGAAACTTCAAGCGGAATTTATCGAACGCGAACATACGTTATTGCAGAAAATGAGTTAGTGTGTTTTTACGCCGCTTTTAGCAATATTCAGTAATATCACGGCGGGGAACAACAGAAAAATGCTTCACACTTTCTACCCATGTTGGGAATCGTATCCGGGTCTTCGGCGTGACGTGCGAAAAGAATCAGTCTGTGGCACATAAGAACGAAATATATTCAAACTAACTGAAAAGTTCTTTAGTCTTTAAAAATCGTGTTGATTTGTTTGTTTACGCTTAATTTATCTATCTAACGCTAAACACAGTGATGTTAGAGCGGCTTGTAAATAATTACCTTAGCACCAACCTGTGTGGTGTAACTGAGTCGGAAAACCTTCGCCTCTTACGATAGACATTTCCTGAGGAAATCCGACCCGATTAGCTACGTTGATTTTATTTTCAGAGAATCAGCTGTTTTTATCTGGACAGATCAGTTCGTTCCTGTGTCATCTTCAGCTGAGATTTAAGGGCGGTGGGGTAGCCTAGTGGTTAATGTGTTTGCTCGTCACGCTGCAGACACGGGTTCGATTCCCCACATGGGTACAATGTATGAAGCCAATTGTTGGTGTCCCCTGCCGTGATATTGCTGGAATATTGCTAAAAGAAGGCGTAAAACTAAACACACTCACTCCAACTGAGATTTAGCATTCATGCCGCTTCATTTTCACGTTTCACTGGCCATGACAACATCATGTGACAACGCAGCCTGATCTGATAAGTCAGTTCAACTGACCCTGGAACAGCCTTCTCAGATGTCTACAACATGATAAACCAATCGGAATGGCATTATGTGTAAACCTCGCTATGTGCATTCCCTACATTAAATATGTGTTTTCATAAATACCAGGTGAGACGTTGAAAAGGGTTATTAAAATAGACTGCTTTAGAAAAATGACAGTTGAGTAAATTAGCAGCGCAGACGCGCGTACTAACTAAACCGGTTTGGCAAGAGACTCGAGCAAGCGGAGAATACTTAACGAGAGGCAGCCTTGTAGCCGCGACACTCGGCTGAGCTTCTGCCTGTGTATTCATTGATTCAAGCTGTAGTTATTGAACTAGATCTGCAGTCACGCTTGTTGCCAGTAGTCGAGGGAGGAGAAGTACACGGCGAATGCTGGCCGGACCAGTCGCTTTTACATCATGTCTGCAGTCCTTACCCAGAAAAGGGTCCAGTTTTGTGGGATCTGGAAACCCAGCTCGAAAGCTTCCAATGACGCGCTGTTACGTCAAATCAGCGTTCAGTTTCTGGAGAAGAAAAGCCTGCCATCAAATTATCAGCTTTGTGAGGACGGTCTGAGGTTACATGTCATACAGGAGAATGGACGGAAGGGGTCGAGGAAGTCGGAGAAAATCCCCTTCACTGGGATCCAGGATATATGTGTCAATTGGTACAACTCGACCTGCTTGATGACAATTTATGTTGATGCTCAGAGGAGGTCCAACTACTTAGTGTGTCGATGTGAGTGTGAACAGGATGTGTCACAGATTGTGCTTGCGTTCAAGGAGCACAAGAAATCCCTAGCTGGAGAAGGTTATAAAATAGATTTAGTGAAACCGCAGGGTACAAATTGGACGCTGATGCCAAAACATGACAACGTCCACATGAATGGTCACTCGGAGATGTCGTCCGATTCTGGGGATAACGTGGATGGTGAGAGGAGGCGGGATGTTGTCACACAAAACGGTGTCGCCGGGCCCGAGCATCATGTGAAAGTGGAGGTAGCCACAGAGACGTTCGAGCGTGAACCGTGCGAGATTGAAGGGAGGCCTGGGTTTAGTGTGGCGGTACAAACCAACTTCGGTGATCTAGACTCTGACCGAGAGTCCATGATGTCATCCACATCCTACCGCTCTCTGAAGGACGAACTGCTTTCCCTGTCTCAAGAAATTCGTGAGATCAAGTTTCTGTTGGAAAAGACGACCGGGATCAGCGCAGCTGAATACTTCAAAAAAGACATAATCCCAAACGGACAGGACCAACGAAAATATTTACCCGTGCCTGTTGACGAACTGGAACTACCGTCGCCAACAGACAGCGCCAACAGTGCCGACAAACGCGTCAATTTCGACATGCCGGACCATGACATCCGAAGTTTTGGTGTTCAGACCGAAAAGGGTCAACGCAAAGGTTATTACACCAAACGCACTGGACGTTCGGAGGTGAGGGCCATGCACCCTGTCCGAGGAACAGCAAGACACCGGAGTAGTTCCAGCAGCTCCGTTCCGAGAAGTCCCGGAAGTATCGGACGTTCGGGTGGCAATGACGTTTTCGACGTGCCGTCTCACGAACGTTCATATTATATCAGGGGTTCTGAACAGCATGTAAGGTCGGGATACACCACGACAATTGAGAGACCCATAGAGGACGTGTACAAAGTGTATTCAAGGAACTTCCGGAACCCTAGAAAGAAGATTGTGGTTATGCCAAGTGGCCATGCAACGATGCCTGCCTTACGCAGGCCAAAAAGCTCATCGTATTCATCGTCGATCAACGATTTTGAGGTCACTCAAGAATATTAGTGTATGAGAAACTTATGGAACTGCATTTTGTCAAACGTGCATCCATGGATATCTTCCCCTTATTTCAGATGAGAGTTGGCAAATGTTGGTACTTCTGTGGATTCTGTTGGTAAGGGCACACTGATGACCAGTTTGTAAACGTGACTGTTTACATGAGGAAATGCTTAGATTCTTGAGTATGTGGATACGACAGGATGTGGACCAGGATGTGGACCAGGATGTGGACCTGGATATGGACCAGGATGGATATGTCATGATATCGTGTATAAAGAACTTGTATATATCAACATATACGGTGCTCTTAACAGTTAATACGTGCCTTTGCAGATATTACTTACATTATATAAATAAGCGTCACTGCTTAAGGTGTACATGACTGAACTGCGAAATCCTTAACACAGTTACTGCCATATTAAGAACAGATGCAGAAATAGGTCTGGATATGCGTGAAACGTTGTACACAGTTAAAAATATACATTCTAATGGTCAGCAAAACTTGTCAAACTTGTGCACAAAAGATAAGAGATTCGTTCAAGTTTATATCAACATTTTCGCCAAAATGTACGTGATACACCAATTATCAGTAATATGTACGCCATTGCAGACAGACTGATGGTAGGGTGTTAAGCGAAATAGCTTGTGGAATTCTGCATTCCGACGGTCAGTTATATGTTCAAGTTTATGCACATAAATATGTACAACGCCAAAAATAGTTTAATTAAATTTAAATAAAGTGCAAAATGTTTAGGAACGGATACAGATGTACATTCCGAATGCCAGTAATATGCACTTAAGAACTGTGTTATATATTTTCAAGTCTGTACACACAGTAATATAAATATGTACAACGTTACAACCAGATAGCCGGCAATGTGTACAACGTTATATTCTTAGTGTAAGAAATATATACAAAGATGTGCTAATAGTTTCATGAATCTTTACAAAACTACACAAATGGTCAGAAAATATGTACAACGTGACACAGAATGTAAGACTGACTGACTGAGTTTGGTTTTACGCCGCTTTTAGCAATATTCCAGCAACATCACGGCGGGGGACACCAGAAATGGGCTTCACTTATTGTACCCATGTGGGGATTCGAACCCGGGTCTTCGGCGTGACGAGCCAACGCTTTAACCACTAAGCTACCCCACCGCCCCCAGAATTTAAGGAAGGTTACAACTAATTGTAAGTAGTAGGTAGAACATTACAAAGAGATTGTCAGAAATGTGTACAACGTTGTACGCAGTAGTGTTAAAAAAGCGTACAACGCTAGATACCAATCATGAGAAACTTATACAAGTGTGTACAATGTGATATGTATACAAATATATCCAACACTACATACAGGTATACAAAATTTCACGTGTAATGTTAGAATACCTACAAGAGTATACATATCCTGTTGCATATACACAAAACGTATACACTTCATGTAAAGATGTGTACAACATAAATATCATAGCGCAGTACTGTATACAACATCACGCATATATTAAGACAAAAACAAATGTGTTCACTTTGTGTAAGAACGATAACTCTCCCGTGAACAACGACACAGCTCTGTTAAATCTTTTTATGACATATTTGCTACTTCTCAAAATTACAGTGTGATGGGTTTAGCAAGGAAGCTATTTATCGCCAGTATATGGCATGCACATTATACGTGGAGATTCCATACAGCGGAATATTGTGATAATATTTAACTATGGACAAAGTTAAATTCGAGGATCCATTGGAGTTGTCTGCCCTTGATGTGATACAGACTCAAGTCTCAAGTGAGGTTTTGTTATTGTTTTGTTCGTGCAATGACCATAGGTGAATGATGTTTATGAAATATTGTTAAATATTTATTTCAAGTACGTATAGTACCTTTACATCATTACTAAATGTACATATACATTAAACCAATTTCAGACATGAATCATAGATACTATATATTCTAAAATGACACTGTTTAATTTTTGTTGTGGTTAAGAATGTTGGTAGAAGGAATGATGTTCTTGCTTTTATTTTATGAAATATTCATTTATTATTTCGTTTCGCAGGTGAAATAAGTGGATGATTTCTGTGACAATTACAGGCATTCATTGTGTGTATTTCGCTACTGAAATATGTTGACAAACTGCTGTAATGAATTGTACTTAAAATATCTGAAAATCATTAAGGAATTACCAGTTATCTGATAATATTACTACCCGTAATATTTAACTTCAGTCACAACTCCTCCACTTACTAACATTTATGAGACAACTAGTTATTACTGATATAAATCAAAAGAATTATAATGATATTAAAACGTATTTGCATGTTTTACACATTTACCAAGAGTATATGAATGTAAATATGCATGTAATAGTATCTTGTCATTTTACTGTGTTTGTAGATTTGTGCTTGCCTTTGGCTATCTACTTTCACAATACTGACAGCACTGCAACAAATCCATTAAAAGTGTTCTGAGTGAAAACAAAATGATATATATATACTGATGTACAAAAGAAAGTACACACCTGGTGTTTTGAGACTATTAAAACAACGTAAATATTTTGCTAGCAATGTTCCAATTGAGTACGATATCTTAAGTGTTATTGCAACACGTACACAATGTTTGTGACTTGTGAGTCACAATCAAAACACTTTTCTAAATATTACGCTGTTTTTAGGAAAACTTTTTACCAAAACATCAGGTGTGTATTTCGTTAGTACGTCAGTTTTTATTTTACCCTTTTCAAAGTGAGTTTAAAATTCAAACATTGGTTTACTATGTACACAATGAGTACAACCACCATTATTGTGTACATCCCAATGTGGTATGGTGGTGTATCGATAAGCAGATTCCATGACTATTTATTTGTCAAAATGTACTATGATATTTTTATCAAGTGAAAGCTAATAATATTTATCTCATTATTAGAAACTTGTTCTGTTATGTTTTCTTTGATGATTCGTATATTAATACCATACATGTGGAAATGTGTTTTACATGAAAATGTTAGCAGCGTATAAAAACTAATATTTGTAATACTGCTCGCCATCACAATACACCGTGGGAATACCTTTTTGTCTCTCCGCGTTACAAAAAACCGACTCTCATATGTCTAATGTATAATCAAATACAGTCACATATATCTGCTCATTCCTATCAAAAGTTGAACAGTATATATCAGTCATTGTTTAAACCTTCCATAAGTCAAGCCCGTGAAGATCCGGGTTAAAATATTGATCTTCAGTAACCTATGCTTGTCGTACGAGGCGTCTAACGGGATCGGGTGGTCAGGCTCGCTTTCTTACTTGACGTCTTCGGTTCCCAATTACGCAGATTGATGCACATGTTTTTGATCACTGGATTGTCTGGTCCAGACTCGATTATTTACAGATTGCCGCCATATGGTGCGGTGTAAAACTAAACTCACTCACTCACTCACTCCATAAGGCAGAGTAGTTTCAGATTGTGAAACTACTGTACGGATTAATGGTACATTGTACACAACGGCTGTCCAATAGAATAAATATCCTCTTTCACGGACGTTATACACCTGCAAAGTGTTTGGAAGAATGATAAGCGTCTATTTCATTTTACAGCTATAATATTTCTGAAATGCTTGAGGCTATACCCGTCTACGTATGGTTAAAAATATCATTCTGGTTATGAGCCTTTCAATAGGGATGAGGGTAGTTTCCAGATGTATTTGATAAATATACGGAAGTAAAACATGTAGGTATTTAATCAAATGCAGCAAATTGAGGAAGGCATACCCCGTAAACAGAGAAACACAAATGAATTTATAACTTCATGTCTACACATACGTTCATATCCCACAGTTGCTGTATCGACCCACCTCGCCTTAGCATCTGGAATAAAAAGAATGGTTGTTTTTGTCTCTATGTCAGTGATATATCTGACACATCTGTCTATATCACAATTGCTACCAGATCAATAATCATGGGGAGAAGGGGCGGTGGGGTAGCCTAATGGTTAAAGCGTTGGCTCGTCACGCCGAAGACCCGGGTTCGATTCCCCACATGGGCACAATGTGTGAAGCCCATTTCTGGTGTCCCCCGTCGTGATATTGCTGGAATATTGCTAAAAGCGACGTAAAACCCAACTCACTCACTCACTCATGGGGAGAAACAGGAAAGTGTGTTGACGGTTCCAACTGGTCTTCATAACACAAGCTCTGTAGACCAGTGCAGACATGCAGCTGAGGTGGTATGTTGATTGCGGAATAGACGTGATTAAGAACATTTTAAAACAAGACTGATGTGCATTAAGTATGCTCATGCTGAAATTAAAATGCTGTAATTGCGCCATTTACCTTCAAAGGGACCGATTTTTAAAGACTGTATATAGTCCGTTTGGCTCAAAAGCGGACCGATGAATTGCAATCTAACTCGAAAACTAATAAACATAACATACTCAATGAAACGCTGATCATAATCAAAACATCATACCCACTCTGTGATTTATTTGCAGAATTTTTGTCCCAAAAATAAATAAGTTGTTTAACAAACTATCATTAAAATATTGACATAGTTCACTGTTTGTTACGAGGGAGGAGTGCAGAGAAAGGGACAGCCAGGTGTTCGAGAAGCACGTTCACAGACAAAGTTATTTATTCATTAACCTGTGCTGTGCCGTCTCCATCCGTTCTCGAACACCTGGCTGTCCCTTTCTCTGCACTCCTCCCTCGTACACATTCATATTTTTCATAAGTTTTGTTATGCAAGAGTTATGACTAAATTTACGTATTTCATTTTATTGAAGTATATGTGTACGTAATCATTCTTGTACCATAACTACAGGATTGCATAACTTAATGTTACAGAAACATTCTATCTGAAGCCATATGTTCAGTGCTAGTGTGTACTGTCTTACCAAAGATGTTAAGATGGAACTTGTTGTTACCCTGTCTTTTCTAGCCAGGATGTGGTTAAAATAAGGCCTGGTTAACTCACATGTTAAACTGCGGCATGGCATGTGGACTAGCACTATACAACCGACATTAGTCCGGACTAATACAAGCAACTAAACACACTCGCATGTACAACATCTACTTTCGTTGTTACTTCATAATTGTAACATACCTCTATGTTATCTAATATTAAACACCCATACAGAAACATCTTTAAAACATGTCGTCACGATATGGCTGAAATAACGCAACGTAGACTTTGATCTCACTCACTCACTCTTTAAATCAAGGAATGATGTGCGACTAATGGTAGTAAAAAGTTTATTAAATTGGGAGGGTGTGATCCTTTTCAGGAATATGTTATTTTGTGATATACATTCCCAACGTGCCTCTGATATTGAACACTATGTTTTCTATTTAATGCATCTTATATTTTACAACAAGATCATTATTACACGAAAACAAAATCAAATGAACAATAAAACTGTAATACTTCTCAATTCGAACTATGAGTAATATATACAAATGCAACTTCGTCAGACAAAAATGACTTTTTGAATATAAAATGTCAATGCAAAAGTGTACCTAGTCTTTAATATCCTCAAAAACAAAATCCATTTGGTCCGAAGGAAAACAGTTGTGAAAATAATATGAATCGATCACTGAAAATCAGTGATAACACCAGGCGTCCTCGAAAGGTATGTTTAAGCATGAACTTCCCTACAGGTAGCACCTGTAATCAGCACCATTTGCCTCAAAACGTAAGTAGTCATAACGTAACGCCCCTCTGCTCAACCTTAGTATCTACTGTGAACTTTTTCAGCAACGAAAATACTGGCTTCTCTCAACAAAATATACTTTTTCCTTTTCGTCAGTTTATGTTAACAAACTGACAGATAAAAGCCGACTTTTATGTGTGACAGAAGTCACATACACGCCATCTGAACAGCTTGCGGCGTTCTTAAGGCCATGAGAACTGGTTCTGTACACTCATGGCTGTCATAGAATTACTGGTTAGGCCATGCTTGAGGGAGAAATAAGTATAGGCTTTTAAAACATGAATATATATAATCAC